ATTCTGTGATTCTGTGATTCTGTGATTATGCGTGAGTGGTGGTTAATAAGGATGTATTGGATGCTGTGGGATCCGAGCATGACATAAAAGGTATGAAAAAGGACTGTTGTGGTTTAACCCCAGCTGGCAACTAAGCACCACACAGCCACTTGCTCACTCCCCTCCAGTGGGATGGGGGAGAGAATTGGAAGAGTAAAACTGAAAAAACTTGTGGGTTGAGATAAAGACAGTTTAATAGGCAAAGCAAAAGCCACACGTGAGCAAAGCAAAAGAAGGAATTAATTCACTACTTCCCATCAGCAGGCAGATGTTCAGCCATATCCAGGAAAGCAGGGCGCTGCTCATTAATAACAAAAACATTCCTGTATTATCAACACTGTTTTCAGCACAAATTCAAAACATAGTCCCATACAAGCTAATATGGAAAAAATTAACTCGATCCCAGTCAAAACTAGCACACCTGTGCATTAAGAGAGGAAGCAAAACAAAACCAAAAGAAAACAAAAAAAAACCACACACAAAAAGACAGGAAGTAGGAAAAAAATGGATTCAGCACCTTCCTTAGACTGAGGGAATTAAGTTCACATTCCCACTTTCCAGGAAGTTCCCCATGTACAAGCGTAGAAGAGAAGGAAGAAAAAAGTTGTAACTATGTCTCAATGTAGAAACAGATGCAAGATTTGTAATCTCAATTTAAACAGGGGGTTAAACATGATTTCATAGCTTAAGGATGGAGGCACTTACCTACTGAGGGAAGGAGAGGGGGAGGTAACCTGGATTCCAGCCCCTGCTTCAAGCACTATTTATGTATGTTACTCAATTACAAATGCAAAATGTGTAGGCAGCCCCTGGGGCAAGAACCCAGGACTTCCTCTTCAAAAGGAGCACCTATTAGGGTTGCAAATTATCCTTTCTCAATGAATCTTGCTTCCTCTCCAATATAGAAGCATGGCTTCAGCAGGCATGACAGACAGTTCTCCAGCTTGAGTTTCACCTTGAGCTGGTGGTGGATGCACTCTTGGGAGATAAGGGAATAATCTCCTCAAGAAGAGACTGGCAGTGAGCCTGCATCTCCGACTTCATGTACAAGTGCCTTATCTACAAGTATGATATTATGTAAAATACTGGCAGTCGTGCTGCCACAACCTCTGGACATGTTTCTGTGAGAAAGTCTCTGGGACTGTTGTGCTTCATGCCAAGGTTGGTTTGTGTTAGGCATACTCAGAAGATGCATACCTCATGAAGCCTCTCAGGAGATGTCTCACTTGTACATCACAGGCAGATGCAATGTAGGTTTCAAGATTTTTCAGCAATATAGAAATAGCAGCAGTGATGGGAAATGCAGTGGCAGAACTTTTAGATAATTTTATCAGCAAAAACCTGAGGCAGATTTCTGTGGCTGTTTCGTTTACATGTACATGCATAAATATAGGTTTCTGGCATTTTTGTTGTTTTTTTTGAATTTGGGTGTTGGTGATTTTCTCAAAGTTATTTTGTAGACCAGCACAAAATTATAATCCAGAAATCCTGCTCTGCTACAGTCTCTCTGTAAGACTTGTAAATATATTTACAATTCATAACAGTCTTTTAATGCCATTGTTTTGTTGGAAATTAAGTAGCTGGCACCTATCTGAATTTGAGAAGAATCTCCTTTGATACTCTCCATCTCTATTAAACATTTTATCTCTGTGTCATTGTCAAGTGTTTATTAGTTCCTCAAGAGATTTTTCCAATAGGTTCTTTTTGCATCCCTCTGTTTTCCCAGCCCCTGTTCTCTTTTATTCTGGGTTCTGTTGCCTTCAGGAGACTAAAACACTGCATCCTTTGCTCTTCTCATCATGCACTTCCTTCCAAATAGACTACTTGCCTAAATCAAGCAACAGGAAGATGAAGGGCAGTATTTTTTATTATTTGAATACAATATTATAAATGCACATCTGTAGTTTTTATGTATTCATAGATGAATAAATTATATTTGCTTTGGATAATGCTAAACAATCCATAACAAATTAGAGTTTATAGCAGGAATAGCCTTTAATTATGATATGTATTTTTAAAAAATGGGTAAGTCAACTTCTGCTCTCAAACCTCAGGTCAGCAAAGTGCTTAAACACTATTGAATAAAGTGTTAAAGTACATTTTTAAGTTTTATGCAGTATGATAGAAAAAATTTAATAAGTAGAGCCTTATTTGGGAGAACAACATAACCCAGGTAGCATTTCAGTTCTTTTATGTGGTTATGGCTGTTACCTTTCCTCAATTCACTGTATTAGTATCCATTCTTAAAAATGTGTCCAAAAAAATTTCTGAATTAACCTTCCTTTTAGGGGCAAATAATTTCCAAGTGCTAATGTGTTCTTTGATGGTTTGGGGTTTTGTTTGGTTTTTGGTTTTTTTTGTCTTTTGTGCTAATTGTTACATGTCATTCACTTAGGCAACTAGGCTGTGTTTTGCTTTTTCTATCGGTCATCTAAAATGGTGATACAACATGGATCCGAAGCTTAGCAAAAATTCAAATGCATGTTCAAAACCTCCTAGAAATATGAAAATTAAATATGCCTAACAAATGACAGACATCTTATCTAGAGGACAGAGAGGAAAACAAAACCACCAAAACTCTCCTCCACTATCAGTGCACTTTGATTTAAAATTAATTAATACCAATTAATATCACATTGTTCCTGTCTGGAAAAAAAAAGGGGGGGTTCTCAAATCAATATAAGCTGAAAGCTTTGGCCTTAAGCAGTGTGTTTTGCTGCTAGGACATGCACAAGCCTCCTTTCCCCTAACCACCAGTATGTCTTCTCTGCACCAGGGGACCAGAACCCTTTAGAACCAGAAACTGATGACTGCCTCTAGGGAAAATGCCATGGTTTGGTTGTTTTTTTTTTCATTCATCATTTATTTACAAATACACATTATAACTTTTATATACATTGCACATTTACATGGTAGAAAAGTACAAAACTACACATTTAAATGAATTTATATTTAACTCACTGTGTTTGAAAATATAAAACTACATCAGAAAAAAAGTATTATGAAAAGCAAGAAACTTGAACTGATAAAGCTTTGATATAACTTTTAGTGACACACTGATTGGGAAAACAAAACTTTTGAAGTGGTACTGCAAGACCATCTTAAAGGAAACACCTGACAAAACATTTATGCATGTTACAAAAAATAAAACAATGAAAATAAAATAAACCCTTTATTCTTACTACAGATAGCCCTGTAGTTATTAACAACCTTCATAATCTGATTTCTTTGAGTTTGTATATATGCATATAATATGGTATATATGATAAGCACATTGAGATCACTTCAGTATGTGATGTGATCAGAAGTAGAGAAAAGTAAAGTGAAAGAAGTTTCCTTAAAGATTGTCTCAATGCACCCTGGAAGTATATTTGAGTTACAATGCCTTTTGGTCAGTTAAGATATCTTGTAAACAAAAAATGAGGGATCTTTTAAGTACAGAATGGGCAAGCAGAAAATCCAATAAACAAACATAACAGAAACCGACATGCAAGTTTGTTAAAGTAGAAGATAGTTAACATCAGTGAAACAAAGATATGAGATCATGTGGGTAAACTCTAAGGAATGGACTTTTATAGTTTACAAGAAAAAAGAAAAGCTTAGCAAGCAAGAGACCTCACAATAAATAACATTGCTCTTCCCTTAATGAATAAATTTCTTCAAAAAGTAAGGTGTACAGTCAACTAGACATTTTATGTCTAAATTATAAAACATGACACAGTATAAATAAAATGTCTACCAGACTCAAATATATGTATACTTTTTTCTTCCCAAAATAAATAAGCATACACTTATTTACAGTACGGACATTGATTTTGTGCCCAATGGCTGTTCCAATAATGATGGACATTTTACCACTCTAGAATGGAAGATATAGGAAAGCTGTAGTCCTGGTCTTCATCTTCCTCTTCTTCCTCTGGATCTTCATTAATGGCTACATGGGGGAAGCTGTTGTTTAAATAAGGACAACAGCACAGAAGCAGCTCAGTGCATGATTTCAAAGCCCTCTTAACAGCCATAATACAGCATTGTATTTTATGTGACTTGTAGTAAGATGCTCTTTGGCATCTGCTGTTATGCAATAAGGTTTTTATACCTAATCTATGAAGTCATAACTGCAGAAAGTTCTGAAGAATCAATAGCTCAGGTTTTATTGGCAGATTCCTGAAATCAAATAAAAAGTGTTCTTGTCTTCTAGGTTTAACTGCTTTGTGTCCTTCATTCAGAGTTAGTAGAGGCAACTGTGCTAAACCAGGTGCCCATGTGCTACCATTAAGCTTGTTCTTTTGGACACAAAGTTTATCTTGGTGTTAATAAAGCAATCAGCGAAGCACATGAGAGCAGACAAATTAGGAAAAAATAACTAGAATTGCACTCCTAGGGCAACCCCTTTCTGACATAATGACTTGTCCTCAAATAGCCCCAAAGCCCCAACTTGAAAGCCAACTGTTAGAGATCTATTGCATTTTATCAGTAACCAAAATGTGTGCATGATATATATATATACACACTTATATGGCACCTGTACCATATCTCAAATCTCCAAATCAAGCTTTCTTATATTTAAAGGTCTTCATTACCTAGGGATTGCCTTCAGAGTTAAAAATCTCACTTACAGTTGCAAGATCCAGAGTGCTTTATTTCTAGAAGCACACCCATGGAGCAGGCTGCCTCTTTCATGGCACACTCATTTGGGTAAGTCGTGTTATCGCTGGCACAGACTGCCTCATCTGACTTGCTTTCAGGGCATGGGGCATTGCAGAGGGCGCACCGACCTCTGCCAACCTTAAAATCCCACAAGCATTTTTTCCCAGCACTGCACTGAATGTCTTCACAGGATTTGGCTTCTAAAAACTTACACAGGATACTAGAGGTAAGTGAAAAGATGAAAAAGAAAAGCAACAAACAATCCCAAACTCCTTTTCCTCCAATGAACGGTGGATAGACAAAGCTCAGATGCAGTAGATGCGATGATACTTGCTGGTTTTACTAAAGCAAATAGTGTCTTGGACACCATTGCTTGTCTACATGTGGGGGAGGAAAGACAGCTGTGCCAGCAGAGCTTGGCCCTGGGAATACAGAATTACATTTGCCAATTGTACATGACCTTCCTGCTCCATTTGATGTCAGTAGAAATTCAGCTCCCCAAATTAGCAATAAATGCAGAATTTGCCAACACATTCAGCATTTTGAAATCAATTATTTTTAAACTAACCCACATAGAGTAGTTGTCTGCAAGATTTAAAAGGAAATTCACCTCAACCTATGCCAACTAAAAGCAGCCTGAGACTCCCTCGAATCCCCCCAGCAGTTTTGGGGAGCAGAGGCTGTCCTGAAAGTGCTTCCTTGTGACATGCTTCTCTATCACTCATTTCTGGAAACCATAATACAAAATGCCAGGATGCACAGAGATTATTTTCCTGTCTTCACCCACCAACTGTCTCCAAACTCTGCAATATTTTTAAAGATTAAGAAGTGATCAGATGTTTCCAATTAAGTTAACACAAGCTTTGCGAAGACCACTTGAAGACAATTGTTTCCAGGAATCCAGATCCACTGAATATTGAGACCTTGTTACTCTGTAACCACGTCATCATCTGTTTAATGGTGGGTACTTCCCCCTGGATACTGTCAGCACTCACAGCAAGAGAAGCAGGATCAGGCCCTCTACTGTCTCACTCCTTTTGCAAACTTTTCTGAGGCAAAGCTCACCCTGGCTCTCCTTTTCCTGGAGGGGAACACAAACCCAGGCTGCTGGAAGTCTCTCCTCCTCCTCAACACTCACTACATACATCCAGTTCCACACACGCTATTCTGAAACAGCTGAGACAGGAAGCTCCCTCCACCCTTACCCCTCCAACCGAGATACCTACTGATGCATTTTCCTTCGTAGGCTAATCCAATGGATCTGCCCAGTAGGCAGGTAGCTTTCCTCAGGTGGCAGGCACTAGCATAAGTTATGCCATCATTCCCGCAGAGATTCTGTTCATGATTACATGTCACGCAGTAGGCATTATTAGTTTGATCAACCACGCATGTGGAGCTGCCTGGGCATAAAACATCCCTACAGGTCTCTGAAATAAATATGGAAACACACATTAATAGGAGATCCCAGAGCCCCAGCAAGGAGTGAATGGGTGACACAATGAAAAAAATGATCAGATAAAAGCCTTCAGCAGCTTTCCCAATTTAAGGGCTGCTGGAGAAGACCTTCCCATCTCACAATAGCTGGTAAGACACAAGTGCTGCTAGACTATGAGGAACTCTCAATCCAGCTATGTCCTTGCTTGTTGAGCATGGTTTAGTTACTGTCTCTCAGCATTTGGAACATCACTCTGGTTTCTGTGGGGAAGTACACTCAGACACACACCCTTTGTCATTTGAGGGAGACTGGATTAGATTTGCAAACCTACTTTTGCATTTGCCCTGATACTGGACTTCAAGTTCAGGCTGTTCTTTACATCTGGCTTTGAGAAGGGCACACTCGTTCTTGTAGGTTTTCCCATCTAAGCCACACACGGGGCCCTTCCAAGTGATATTAGAGCAATCCGGAGCACAAACACACCGAGGTTTGTTCTTCTTGTTCATTTTACATTTCTTCCCGGGTCCACAGTCCACGTTCTCACACGTTTCTGATGGAAGGAAAGAGGCACCACTTTAATACGAAGCATGCAGAACAGACCTGGTGTCAAAACTGCTTAAAGAAAAAAAAGACACTGACCCCAGGGCATTAAGAGAAAACACCTTCCCCCCCTCCAGGAAACACCACTCGAGGGAAATTCCCCCTGCCAATGAGGGCAGGAGGGAAAGGAGGTCGCTCCCCTCCTCCCTCCGATGTGCACGGCGGCCGAGAAAAAAATGGGGGTCTCCTCGCTGATCCAGGAGCTGGTACGAGACGCGTCTCAAACCCCCACCAAGGAAGGAAGCCGAAGGACCGCGCTGCTCCTCCTCCAGCTCCTTCCCCGCTCCTCCTCCCCCAGTCTAGTCCCCGCCTTTGCATGGGTTGCAGTTTGGGGCTCCCCCATTAACAATCATCCACTTAAACAGCGTGTTGTCGTTGACATCCTCTTCCGTCCACGAAGTTGTCAGACGGCCGGTCTTGCAGCACTCCTCCTTGCTGAGGTCGGTTTTGTAGAGGACCTGGCAGCGCCCGTTCCGCGCCTGCCGGAGCCAGCAGTTCCCAGCTGCGGGGGGGGGGTGGAAAGGGGGGGGATACAGGGGGGGAACACCCAGCCGGATCAGTGGCAGTCACCAGTGACCCAGACACAACACGTGCGCCTCGCAGTGACTTCTACTAGTCTGTTTACTTTTATTTGCCCCGTTTCATAACCCGCAGCTTCTCCGGCCCATTTGGGAGCGCAGTTAATAAAATAAAATCCAAAAAAATCACCACTAAAAAACAAACGGGGGAAAAAACAAAAACAAAAACAAAACAAAACAGAAAGAAAGAAAATACCCGATCAAAACAGAACAAGGCAGTTTTCGGAGGTATTTATTCCATATGTAGAGCAGAAGGAGCACTGCCGGCACGTGACGGAGGCTTGAAAAGATGTGCATTTAAAAGGGAATAAAAAGAAAATCGCGCTTGCAAATTCCTTCCTCCTCCCCCTGCCCTCTTCTCCTCACCGCGGCTGCACAGCAGCATTGTTTTAGTGCCGCGCAGAGTTTCAGTCCCAGCCCATTTTGCAATCTGCACGAATTGGGAACATTTGCTGTTAGCGAAGTCTTTCGAAATCTTCACATTTTGCTGCTTCTATTAACAAATACATTCTCTTCACTAAAATAAGTCTGAAGAGCTCCGCAGAAGTGAGCGAAGTACATGAAATACAAGGGCACATAGAGTAGGAGGTCTCTATGGAGTTTTAAAAATCGATCAAGCTGAAAAAGTTATAGGTGCCGTCTCTCCCGCAAGCATTTCAGAGGAAATACACTATCCTTAAACCGGATAAAGTGGGTTTTGTTGGGGTATTTTTTGCCCCCTCCCTCCTTTTTTATTTTTTTTTTTAATTTTCGCTATTATCCCTGTTATTTATGGTATCAAGCCAAGAACATTAGTCCAAGCAACTCCCCTTTTTTAACTGGAGAGTTTTGGTTGGGATGAGTCTCTCGTGAATAACCAATGTGACTTCTCCAGCAACTCAATACCAATTGATTCTGGTGCTAATCCAGACAGGGCTCGATCCTGCCTCCTTACTCCGATGGGAATGTACCGCAGCGAGGGGTCAGAATCGGCCAGCCGAGATGTCGCGGGCGCGAGGGAAGATTCCCCACCTCCACCCGCCCTGTCCCCCCCCTCCCCTCTCCGCTAAAAGTCACTGAACAAACAAAGCCCTTAAAAAAAAAAAAAGTTTTGCGTTTTACAGTTGCCTACATGAGATTAACTTAAACTCTAGCTCGGTAGTGGAGTAGAAAATAAATTTTAAAAAGAGAAAAAAATTATTAAACAAGCAATGGTAATACATCCAGGTTGTGGTTGGAACAAAGTCAAGACAAGGGAAAAAACTAAAAATCAATATTCCCTTGTGTCGAAAGAGGGCTCTTAAGAGTTGTCAATATCATTTGTTCGCATGGAAAAAAGCCCAACAACCCAAACGCAACTTATTTAAACATACCTTTCAGAGCAGGAGAATTTACAACCCTAATATTTACTCACACACACAAAAAAATTAAGAGAGGGGAGGAGGAAATCCCAGTATTAAAGTACTGCCCGGAAAGTGACCACTTATTGGTTTCTAAAAATGTCAGCTGTAATCGTGGGGCTCCCCATCATCACCTCTCCTTCAATCAGGCAGGAGAGATAAAAATCTGAGCTAAATTACCAACAAACTTTGAGCAGTCATTCGGGAGCCGACTGGGAAAGTTCCCTCGCGATGCTGCTCTTCATTCATGCTGCATAATAACAATAAATACCCAGAAACATCCTTATCTGTCCTCTGTGCCTATGCAGAGCAGTGCGAAGATCCGACCAAAAAGCAATCTAAAGGACACCTCTACACCGCGGTGCCAAGCGATCCTATGCCCAGTTAACTTCTGTCCTGTTGGACCTTGGAGAGAGGCGTTTAACACTAAACCGTGCCCGAAAGACACAAAACAGTAGTAATAATAAAGAAACGTATCTGCGAATAAACAGTCTGGTCTTACCCTGCACTGTGTGATCTTCCATGAAGTGGCAGAGAAACATCAGGAGTAAGAGCATGCCCGGGTGGGTTCTCTGACTTAACATCCTCAGTACAGCGGGGAGTGCGGGAGACACAGAGACGG